GCCGTGAGCGGAGAGCGGGAGGCTTCACCTGGGTTACCTGTTGCTCTCCTCCGGACGGAACGCTGCTTTTATAGCGCGGCGCGACGCCGAGCACGAGCACACACACACACACACGCGCGCGCGCACACACACACACACAGACACACACACACACAGAGGCTGCTCGCGGTTCAAAGGTCGTGCACATGTGCAGAGTGCAAGAGGCTGCATTTATCTCTGTGATAAAGGCAATGTAATGGTTTTCTTAATTATGATACACAGTATTATGATTAAAAGGCAGGAAATCTGACCCACAGCAGTTTCTTTTTGTATTATTATGTTTTACAATAATAATATGTTGCCTTCAGTGGAGTATCAGCTACATAAATAAAATAAAGTATATTCGCATAAACACCTGTTGACACCTGTCAGGTTTTAGTCTCAGCAGCAGGTCCAACCTAAGGCTCGGGAGTGGACCGACACCGGAATGAAACGAAGGAAGCTGCCCCCTGGTGGCTGTGAGTGCAACACTAAGCTGCAGACATTTATGTGTCATCTATGTTCACTTTGCTGTATTTTCGTCTCTTCATGTAATTTTTAAAGAAATGTTTTGAACTATTGCTGAAGTCTGTTATCTGTGGTTCTATGTGGTGAAACCGTTTCGCTGCCATCTGGACCCCGATTCTGAATCTCTGGAATAATCCTGATGAATAAATGAAGAATTTATTTTTATTTGTTTAATCTCCTCCATTGTTAAATAATGTTGATCCTATGGCTATTTTCCCTTATTTTGAAAGATTTTGTGCAGTATGTTATAATAATAATAATAATAATAATAATGTATATATATTTATATATATATATATTATTAGTATTATTATTAGCAGCAGTAGCAGTAGTAGTATTCATTCAATAATTATATATATATATAATTATTGAATGAATATATATATATATATAAATATATTGAACAATAATTAATAAGTCTTTGGCTTAAATACTCATAACTCATGACCATACAAAGACCATAAACTGTAACGAGGGCTCACAAATAGACATTATCACATTATTATTCATAATTTTTTTAGGTTGTGCATCATATCGACTCTTTGTGTTTGTGAAGTTGTCATGCACGCTGTCGTTAAATGTTGAATGTTAATTCTACACATTATAATATATATATATATATATATATATATATATATATACATTGACTCATATGTCACACCGGAGCAACAGCATTTCATTTCAGCAGATATGTTGGTATTCACAACCATAACTGCTACATAAACACAATAGTACAGGTGTTCACACAGGCACACGTTTGCAGCACGTGCACACACACATCTAGTGCTCATTAGTCTGAGTTTATAGTGAGAGATACGACTGTAACAACATAATAAATCTGAAGTCAACAGTATGAATACAAGTCAATGATTAATCTCTGTTTCAGTTCCTCCCAAAGCCTCAATAAAACACTGTGATTAAAGCTGCACTAAACAAGAGTTCACTCAGTTCAACTTAAAGATTCATGTTTGCTTTAAGATGTTCTTCTAAATGTGGATGTTTCACAAAGAACGACTGCACTCACACACTTCTTCTTCTTCTTCTTCTTCTTCTTCTTCTTCTTCTTCTTCTTCTTCTTCTTCTTCTTCTTCTTCTTCTTCTTCTTCTCAAGCTGTAAAGAAAACAACAAACCGGTTATCTTAAAACAATTAGAGTAAAATGACTTTTTTAGAGATAACCTGATATCTGAACACCAGCTCATAACCAGCATCATTATGCTGGTTATTGTATTATGTTATGACACAGCCAATAAGAGCTCCGGCTCCATCAGACACACAGTGTTCAGCCAAACAAACAATCACTGCAAACATAAATGATAAACAAATCCAACAAATTACATTTCATGATTGAGTCAGTAATATCAAACATTCACAAAAGTAGTCGTAGTTTGGTTCATGTATTGATGAATAAATGTATATACATGTTTATACTTTGATCATTAATCATGTCTTCATTATATGTTTATTTTTATGCACCAATCACCTTAATACTAATTAAGTCATATTAATTGTGCACACATAAAATAATAAACCTCTGATTCTGATAACGTCCTCATGAAAAATGTGCAAAATCTGAACCGTGATTTGAATGTAAATGAATTCACTTGGATTTGTTTTATTTTTATGATTATTTAACTTTTTTTTTTGCACATTCTGACCGCAGAAAATACAATACGGTAAAAATGTTCCAAATAATTCTACTTCACTCGTAGACGAGCAGCACACTGTGTATAAATACCATAAACAATACGCGATAAAGTATTAACTGTTATTCATTTCATCAAATCTTTCTATTCTGAATCCGACCTCATTCATCAACATTAATAATAACAATCATGTTCTTTGTTGAGAGCAATAAATCACCATGTAAATGTAATTATTTCTTCATTCTTATTGCGTAACTGAGTCGATATTACAGTCTGCTAATTATTTTGCAGATAAGACATTATGGATTAAATACCGATTAATAATGATAATCGAGCTTCTGTGCAGTTATGAGCGGTGATATTGTGAGTGATCGGCGTCTGATTGGTTCCAGCGCCGGCTGTGACCTTGACCTCCTCTCGGTGCACACGGGAACCTGACACGAGTCTAAAGAAAGCATCTCGAAGAGGCTCCGCGTTACGATTCACCGGGTTATTTATTGACTAAAGCCATTTGGTGTTTCTCCTCATGTGACATCAGAAGACCCACATATACGACTAAAGATCAGCTCAGGTTTACCTTTGACATTTGGAACGCTGCTGTCACTGTCCCTCCACCCACACCACCATCAAAACACCATCCTGTCATCGTGTATTAACTAAAGCTTTCAATGACGGCAGTTATCTCTTTTGTTTTCTTTTTTCTTTGAAGAAAACACATCGAGACACATCTCTCTAATGTCCCCTGAGAGCTGCTTCCCTGTCTTGTCCTCGTGTGCTCCTTAAGTTGTTGTTTTCCTTGTTGTTATGGTACCGGAGTCAATGATTGGCCCGCGAGGTCACCGGTTGATGCCACCCGCCTGCCATGCTGGCACAGTCCACACAGGGTCAGGCTGCCTGTAGTACTACGAGTGGGCTGAGCTGAGGTCCATAAAACCATAAAGACTTTCAGCTGTTAACTCGTCCAGTGATCCAGGTTACAGCCAGAGAGAACACGGGTCCGTCTCCAGGTCTGGTCCTTGGATTCTAAAGAGACTCTTTGAGAGAATGCAACAAACCTGCAGCTTTACCGACACACAGCCCGTGTGTTCAGGGAGACATTGGACATGTTGAAATAATAACCTGACACACAAACATGTGGTTCATATTAGCAGGAATAAGTTATTTTTAATGCTGGTGTTTTCTGAAACATAATATTTCTATTAACAGACCGTCGGCTCCAGTGCATCATGATAAAATAAACATATCTAAAGCAGATTGAATGCAGATTGTTCAGAATAAACCCGGATGGAGAGCAGAGAAAGACTCCTGCTGACCTCCTGAGACACGGAGGAAATAATCATTTACAACCGAACGACTCAAACATTTCACCAACGTTTGAACACATTAGAACAGCAGCACAAGCAGCAGCACTCTGACAGTTAACATCTCACTTTAATGAACAATCATCCTCTAATCTGTATTTTAATCTATCTAGCAAACAACAACTGGTTATTGTGCTTTATGACACAATAACACACTAAATGAAATACAGGAATGTGTAACCTGTTTATGAAATGACTGGAATGATGTGAGACTGATATAAAAGATTATGTTGCACTTGCATCTTTACTGTTAAGTTTGCTTCACCGCCTTTCTTCTGGTTGATGTTCTGTTTTATCTATAAGTCAAGTTTATTCATATAAAACATCAACAGTAACACATTATTAAAGCTCATGTAAATAGAGTTAAAACATTAAGGGCCAAGAGATGAGAAAACACAAACAAGCTGAAACAGAACAAGACAGTGAAAGAAATGATTTCATAAATATAAAAGTCTTCAGCTTTGATGTCAAAGACCTGTGAGCAGCTGACCTGTGAGCAGCTGACCTGTGAGCAGCTGACCTGTGAGCAGCTGACCTGTGAGCAGCTGACCTGTGATTTTCTGGGTCTTCAGAAATAATATGTTGTTGTTTTTTTACACAAAAACATGCAGCGATACGTTTTATTGTTGCTTAGATCTGAGTCTGCAGGTCACACTGGATCAGATCTCCGTCCACTGAGGAGTGAGAGAAAAACAAAGTGTTCTCAAGAACTCAAGGTAACGCTGGGAGAGTAACTGATAAAATGTAATTTTGCAGAAGCCGTCAGGACTCAGCAGCTCCACTCGTCCTCCAGCAGATGGAGATGAGACTGCATGGTCTCATGACACAGTTTAGAGCCACTCATCAGTGTTTGAATGCTTCATTTAAACATTACATCAAAGGGATAGAAATGCATTACTGCATCAATAGTTATAACACAGTAATAGAATATATATCATTCTAAAAGGGTCCATCACTGTTGGTACTTTGATGTGAGTACTTTAGTACTCTCACTGTACCAGAGTACTCCTACACAGAGGTATTACTACTGCGTTTCCTGCATCGATCACTCTCAATACAAACCTTTTTAAACTTGATGTATTTAAAACAAAGCTGAGAGCTTGTTTCCTGTATTATCATATTCTATCATGTGACGTCTGTTAAACATGACGTCTTTGTGTCAGAAGAGTCTCAGAACGCTGCCGGTACCGGATGCAGCAGCTCGCTGAGGTCCAGCACGGAGGTGAACCATCGGACGGTACGTTGAGCTTTGGCCGACCTTGGAGATGATTGATGTGAAACCCTGATTCATAAGTCATCCACACACACACACACACACACACACACACACGCATGGGGGAGCTTGAAATATGAAGTGGTTGAAAATAAATGAAATAAAATAATAATCATGAATAATTCTGTGACATCGATTGAAATGCAGGTGCAATAATGTACAAGCAGAGACCTGCTGATAAAAGACAAAGGTTTATTGTCCTAAATTGTATCTTTTCAGACCCTGTTATGAAACAATGAACAGAGAAAATATCGGGATTCATTGTTGATCCATTGGAGTCCAGTTGTCCCTCAGTATCGCAGCATGACCTGAAGACAAAACATGACTTATTGATTATGAAATCTTTTAAATTTCTTGGTGACATTTGAGGCTCACATGAGCTGTTGGTTGTAGATCAATAACTCACATCACTGAGCCAGTCGGTGAAGGCGGAGGTGCGGGTGAAGACGGTGGGTTTCTTCACTTCATTGCAGACTCGAGAGGACACGAAGCTGGTGACGCCCTGGACGTACCAGCGACCGTCCCGACCCAAACAGTTGAGAGGACCGCCGGAGTCTCCCTGAGACAAGAAACACGGCAGAAGTAAAACATTCGACCTCGATCACAGCGGGAAGTTCACTTCTGACAGGAGAGCGGTGGCCTCACGCACGTTGCATCCGGATATGGCGTCTCCTCCGGCACAGATCATGGTGCTCTTGACGTGGATGCCCCACCAGTCGCTGCGACTGCACACGGCATGCTCCACCACCGGCAGCAAGGCCTGCTGCAGCTTATCGGGCATGGGGCCGTGGGCTGAGACACAAGGAGGACCAAGGAAATGCATCAAGGCAGAGTTGACTCACTGCTGTATTATAGAGATAATACACGTTATTCTCCTGGTGTCCACTAGGGGCATCACTACTGTATTATGGAGCACTGCAGTGTTTGATGCAGTGTCAGACTGTCTTATCCCAGACTGTGAAAATAAAAACAACCTAGCATTTAATATACAGAGAATAATGTGACGACGCAGTGACTTTACTGTAAAGGTTCCCCCAGCCAGAGATGTAACACGGTGCTCCATGGACGGGGATCTCTCCAGCCTCTGGAAGACAAGCTACGCCAACGCTGTCATTCATGACGGGGCTCTTATCCAGTTTCAGCAGGGCAAGATCATTGCTGTGAGAAAATCATGGTTATAGTTAGCTTTTCACTGATTGAGGAGGCGAACCAGCTAAGACAATTCATTCATACTGTATTTATTGGCTTTATTAATCACATGAATTTGTTGGATTCCTTTTTTGCGTTTACTTTAAAAGGTAGGTTGTTTGCTTAAAGGTGTACATTAACAATCAGTGTTATTTATGCTTATTAAAGGGGACACATAATGCTTAGTATTTTACATTTCTACTAGAACATGTTATTTTCTTCACACTGTGTTCACCTTCTGTCTGAAACACAAAGGTAGTTCTTGATTTTGTTGTCTTATTTCACAGTTTGTGGGTTAAGTAGGGACTCCAGATACCCAAATGTACGTGCACACTGACAAAGTGAGTTTTTCACGTTATGTCACTTTAAATCATTCCACTAGTGATTCAAAAACAAGGGAATTTGTTGATCTGCTGTCTAAAATTGTTATAACATAAACTCACCCATCAGCCACAAAATCAATGTCCCACATCGGGTGTACGATGATGCGCAGAATGTCTCTGATCTGTTCAGTGCCCTCCTGCTGGCTCATGTCATGCTCTCCCAACACCACACGGTACACGTCTCCTGGCCTGTATAAGACACCTCATGTCAGATTACATCTCCCTCATATCAGACGCTTCACACTGCATGTCCACGTTGTTCTGCACGCATCACACAGCAGCTATGGCATCACCCGATGCAGTGTCCAGCCGTCAGCACCCAGCGAGGTCCAATCAGAGTCCCTCCGCAAGTGTGATGGAAACGGCTGCCGTGCTTCACCTGCAGGGAGATCTGAGAAAAAACATATTAATCATTCAAATGTAATTCTAAATCAGAGAATAGACCTCTTTTCTGTGAGTGGACATGATGAAGTCTGTGGGCGGAGCATAGGTGGAGGAAGAATCATTCTCAGAACACATAAGTGAGCAAGTTTCTGTCAATATGTACAGTCTCTAAAGGTGTGTTCACACCAAACGGGTTAATCGCGTCATTTGCGTCGTGTTACTCGCGGGGGACTAGTTGTCGCCGGAGAGGGTGCGTGGCTTAACACCCTGGAAGCCATCCATCTCTCTAATAGTTTAGCCTGTTAGCAACATTTTCTCTCCGTC